AAGATTTCCGCCCCCTACTGCTATGCCAAGGATAGAAAACATTTAATTCTAAAATGCCGTAACATCAGTTTCGCGCCCCTTGGATTTTGCGCCCGGGGACAGATGCCCCCCTTGCCCCCTTCTAGCTACGCCCCTGCCAACCCCTGCCGCTATGCTGAATGAAAAGCTTTTCTTGAACCAACCGCACATACTTAGCCTTCGGAGCACTCCTAAAGCATTTAGATCTCTTCTAGGGAGTTTTCTCAATTTATTATATGTATTAGATACTCTTTTATTGTGTATGTTGGCAGGGATATATAAAATAGTGGGATTCAAATAAGTTTAACAATCTGTTCTTTAAAATAAAAATATTTTTTAAGATCTTTGAAGGAAAGAAAAAACTTTTAGCCTAACTTAAAAGCTAGATCTTTATTTTATTAATAAAATATAATAAGCTGACTTATAAAACGATCGATTATAAAATATTGTACATTTTAATATTAAGTCCATGAATATGCTGTATCACAAATTTCAAGATAGAAAAGTGCATTCGTCATTTCTGTGCATAGGATCCTATATGACAAATATTGCAAAATTAATAATAATCAATATCAGTAATCATCTTACAGTACTTGCCACATGTTCTATCAACATGTTTTTCTGTGACAATGTATGAAATAATTTGTCGTTAAACAGGCCAGGCATAATAGTTTATTAACACTGAAAATGGCAACAATTTAACCAAGGACTGTTTCAAGGGCGTATCGGATTTGTTGTGATTTGGAGATGTCAGCTGTCGGTGAATGAGTGTGCTGCATTATGTCCGTGAGAAAGATGCGGAGTATATACAAAGAAGTTGTTGGTACGCTGACCCCAAAATATATCATTGAAAACAATGTACGTAACTTTATTTATAATCAGATAGTCTCTCTTAGTTATCTTATGATTTTATTAGGTTTTAATTCAAAATGCAGACTTTGGTGCAGTGATGCATTCTAATTACTAGAGCGGTATGAACCAATATTTACCCTTTTTATACACATCCAATTTATTAAATGTATTAGATGCTTTTTTGTGATGTATGTGTATATATCTAATGGTGGGATTCAAATGATTTAAAATACCAATTCTTTAAATAAAAAATACCAATATCTATTTTTAGGGTAACCGGTCTTCCGAATGGAGTAATTCCACCAGTGGATATATATTATTTATTATCTTTCTTATTATATAAAGAGAAATAATTTAAAATTTCCCTCATCTTGCAGTGATGTAAAAGCATGTGAAACAAGTGTTTGAGTTAAGTGACACACAAGGTTTTCTTTTTGTGTTTTGTACCGAAGGAGATTTGGAAAAAATTCCTGTTGTCTCAGCCATTTTACTGATCAGGAAAAAAAAAAAAAAAAACGTTCATTATTCATGTATGTAATAGCATTCCCTTTTTTTAAAATTTGGCATTCATTATTAAATAGTAATATTTTAGGTTGCTAAAGGGAATGATCTTATGAATTTGTTTATTCATGATTATGTATAGTGAGAAAAAACATAATGATGCAAAAACAATAATGTATGTTAGAATGTTTGTTCTAGCTATTTAAGCTTTATTTGCTCCCTCTTTCTGTTAGTATATTTTTCAGTATTGAATAAAACTAGAAATAGTGAGAAATTAATAGGAATTTGGGGGGGGGGTTGCCAGGCAGGACATTCTTTGCTTATTCCCTGCAGTCCCATTTCATTCTGCATATAAATTGCATTTTCAGATAAACATTTATGAGTTTATTTATTTATTTTTTTTTTTTTAAATGGTCAAAACTTTTTGCATCAAGTTGGGTTTACTATCCTCTTGCCATGAGATTGAGTAGGAATGAAGTCAATTTAATATGAATAAATCCAAGTTTCCATTCAGTTAACAATACAGTTCATATGTTGTGTGAATTTAGGTTAGTGAATGATATAAATATGCATGCTTTTGAAACTCGCTTCTAATTATAATTTTGCCTGTATAAAGTTGTTTTTATGTATTTACTTTTTTATATAAGCTGTATAATATTTTTTTTTTTTTTTTTTTTTTAATTAAGTATATTTATTTCAGATGTGTGATGTTTAGTTTTAACCCACTCAGTGTTACGGCCAGAAAGAAGGCTGCTTTCTATATATGAAAATTTTTCTATACATGAAAATTTCTGCTAGTTTTTAATGTATCTGATTTTGGTTTGGATGTATATTGGAAGAAAATGAATCAAGGTACAAAATCACAGAGTCATTTTTTAATTAAAATCAAGAAAGCACCACTTATTCATGACATTTTGAGGAACTTTGAAATTTCAGGGTTGAACCCGTAATGCTCAGAGGGTCAATACCCGCAAGTTAATCCTAAAAAAAAAACTAATGAATAATTTTTTGCTAAATTATGTTGAGATTGTTTATTTTAAAATCTAAATAAACTTTGTTATTTAATGCTAGTCTTTTAATTTTCTGTGGTAATAGAACTCCAAATGCTGTAGTAATCAATAATACTTATTAAATTGATAAATTTTGCAACTTATTTGTTGCATTTTAAAAATTTAAATTTTTTAAAAATTAGTTTAAATGAATATGTTATATACATGTTAATTAATTAATATATAAATTAATCTAATTTTGTATAGTAAATTAATATTATTCTCACATTTTTGTGATGTTAGTTGAAATTTGTCAGTAGTCTTCCTGATTAGGATCTTCATGGTTGAAATTACATTTCGTATGGCGTAAAAATGATTATAACTAATTTTTTGGCTGATCTTTGGAATATGGTAACTGGTAGTTTGGCGACATTTTGGGGGCGATAAAGGCTACTACCTAGGACTTTGGTAATAATGTGAGAAGTACTCTTCCGATTACGCATTATTTTGTGTGAGGGAAATGAGAGATCATGAGATATGTCATGTGACATTAATGGATGAATTACAGTTCTTTAATCGGAAAAGGGGGGAAATTTGGAAAACTGTAGTACTATATTATTTGTATTAAGCTTCATTGTGGTTGTGTGAAATAGTGAAGTGTGCGTGCCACGTAAGAAGATTAGGTAAATTAGTATTTTTAATCATTTGAGGATATTATTTTTATGCATTGTTCTAAATGTAAGGAGTAAATAAATTAATATGGTATTATTGGAAAATTGTTATTAGCAATGATTTAGTTTAAAGTAATTAGAATTGTAATCTAATTTTTATTAATTTAATGTATGTGCTTATTTATATTTTAAGTAGTGTTTTTAATTTAATTATATTTTAATTTAATGATCGTGATTTTGTGAGTTATATGTTTCTAGTATTTTGGAATACGTTTGAGTAGAATACATTGAGTATTTTCATGCATTTTTGAAATTTTTCTAATTTATGAGAAAAAGCAGTGTACATGGATATAGTGAATAGTGTGCGCAATGCATTTTTGTGCAATTCTGAGATGTTTTTTTAAGTAAAATAAGTCGACGTGTACATGGTTTAGTGATATTTTAATTAAATGATAGTTAATTTGGGAATTTTATATTTGTAGGAATTTGGTATACGTTTCAGTTGAAGTAAACGTGCATGGAAGTAATTTAAATATTTGACACTAAGTATTTGTAACCATTTGTAATGTTTGCGGTATGAATTCGTTGGTGACGTTTATAATATAATAGATAATTTAGAGGTAAAAGTTTTTGGATATTTTATTTATTTTTATACGTGGAAATGTTCATCTTTGGAAAGGGTATATACTTTTTGCGATCAGGTAATTTCATATATGTTCTTTTTACCGGATTTAAAGATTCACAAAATTTTCATGCATTTTCGTGAAATTTTTCTAATTTATGAGAAAAAAGCAGTGTACAAGGATATAGTGAAGAGTGTGCGCAATGCCATTTTTGTGAAATTCTGGGATATTTTTTTCAAAGTAAAAATAAGTCGACGTGTACATGGTTTAGTGATATTTTAATTAAATGATAGTTAATTTGGGAATTTTATATTTGTAGGAATTTGGTATACATTTCAGTTGAAGTAAACGTGCATGGAAGTAATTTAAATATTTGACACTAAGTATTTGTAACCATTTGTAATGTTTGCGGTATGAATTCGTTGGTGACGTTTATAATATAATAGATAATTTAGAGGTAAAAGTTTTTGGATATTTTATTTATTTTATACGTGGAAATGTTCATCCTTGGAAAGGGTATATACTTTTTCGCAATCAGGTAATTTCATATATGTGCTTTTTACCAAGGTTCACAGAATTTTTTTTGCATTTTCGTGCAAATTTTTGTAATTTATGAGAAAATAGCTGTGTAGATGGATAAAGTTAAGAGTGTGTGCAATGCCATTTTTGTGCAATTGTGGGATTTTTTTTAAGTAAAAATAAATCGACGTGTAAATGGTTTATGTGTATGTGCTATTCTGAAAAACGCGCAAGGAGTTTGCAATTGTGCACTTTTCCCAATTTTACAGTTAATATTTGTCATGATTAAGCAGTTTTGTTACATAAAATTTCGGTTGATCTTTGGATTATGGTAACTTGGCAATTTCTTGGCGAAAATTTGGCGACCAACTCTGCTACAACAACTCTCTATTAGTCCCGTTTTTTGGTAGCATTAAGTTTTAACCAAGTTTTTTTTTTTTTTTTTCTTAAGTACAGCTAGCATCTTCTTATTAAAATATCATTCTAGCCAAAATTTTAAAGTTATATTTTTGTGATATGAGCTTTCAGTTATGTGAAACTCGTGATTTGAAGAAGATCATATAAAATTAAGACATATACTTAAGAGGTAAATAAAAGGCTGACCTCATTTCTTCCCCCTTCCCTCAAACTACGAAATTTTCCCAGTCCACCCTGGTTGGAACTCCCAGAATTAATTCAATTCTTATTATGAGTTTACTTTATTAAGATCATGCATTATTCAATTCATATTGTAAGTTTACGTTATTCAGCTAAAATAAACTCATGACATAAAGAAAAGCATATACAAGGGTTGGACAAAAATATGGAAACACCTTTAAAAAAACATGTTTCTTTGCTTAATATGGTGTAGAAAACCCGTTGGCATCCAAAACAACTTGCAGTCTTCTCGGAATGGATAAATACAATTCCTGTATGTTTGCCAAGGGAATATTATACCATTCTTCCTGCAAAACGATGGCAAGTTCAGATAACGATGTTGGCGGTGGATAACGAGAACGCACTTTCCGTTCCAATGTAGACCACAAAGGTTCGATAATATTCAGGTCTGGTGACTGTGGTGGCCAGGGGAGATGGGACAACTCATCCTTGTGCTCAGAAAACCAGTCCTGGACAATGTGAGCTGTGTGAACAGGGGCTTTGTCGTCTTGGAAGACACCATCACCATCGGGGAACAAAGTTTGTACCATGGGATGAACTTGATCAGCCAAAATGTTCACATAAGTCTTGGCAGTCATGTGCCCTGACACAGTTATCATGGTGCTAGCAGGGAACCATGATATGGCTGCCCAAACCGTAACAGAACCCCCGCCATGTTTCACTCTTGGCAACAAGCAGTCTGTATTATAGGCTTGAAATGGCGTTCTCCAGACGTAAACTCGGCCAGAAGTGGACAATGTGAAAGAAGACTCGTCAGACCATATTACTCGTTTCCACTGCTCTATAGTCCAGACTTTATGACTTAAACACCTTTTCCTGTTACGGGCATTAGCATCACTGATGAGTGGCTTCTCAATTGCAGCACGGCCAGCAATTCCCTGTTTATGAAGCTCCCTTCTAATTGTTTTGGTACTCACAGGGGTTCGGTAACACAACATTCATTTCAGCAGTAACTTTTGCAGCTGTGGTCTTCTTATTTTTTGTCACAATTGCCCTTAATGATCGTCTGTCACGATCACTCAGAACACACTTTCGTCCGCGCTGTGATTTAGCAGATGATGTTTTTCCGCTTTTCAAATATGCGGAATAAATCTTCGATACAGTACCTCTTGAAACACTAAACCCCTCGGCTACCTTGCTTACGGAAGCACCTACCATACGTGCTCCAACAATTTGCCCACGTTCGAAGTCAGTTAACTCTGACATAATGCAATGACAACCTCACATAACAGTATTCCGACAACAACTGAACTGTTTAGCACATTTACGAAGTTGTATAGGTGGCGTCAGTAGTCAAAAACGCGAGCGCCACCTACATATTTCATTAAAATCAATCTTTTCAAACATGCATTTCACAAGGGGTTTCCATATTTTTGTCCATCCACTGTAAGCTTAGGTTAAGTGGAAAAGAAATAACATGTACTGAACACTATGTAAAACAATCAAAATAATAAGTTGCTTTTGCGCAGTTTTGGGCGTAGTTTTTGGTTTTCAAAAGTAGGAGTATTATATTAAAAATAGCAAAGTATTTAAAAAAAAGGTGTACATTATTTTATTTTAGTTAAATATCAAAATTTTATTTGATTTTTTAGATTGTCACATATTTTATTTTTATTCTAGACTGATTTACCACCATTAACAAGGTATTCTGTCCTGATAGAAGTTAAGGCATGCTCACTTTCAGAGGTTGATATTAAGGTAGGAATTCTCTAAACTTATTATTATAGCATTTAAGCTTACTTTGAAAGCACTGAAATTGACATGTTTTCAATAAAAATAATGCCATTTCCTTGTTAAAGTGACTACCACAAGTACTTGGTGAAATTTCTTGACATTTAAAATTAATTTGCTGAAAGTGGAAAACACTATGGCAAACTTTAAAAAATGGAAAATTTCTGTCATATAATACGAGGGTTGGAACTTTAATAGTGGCAACTATTTATTTACAAGGAATACAAAAGTGATTCATGTCACCATGTTTTACAGTCCTTTAATATAGTCGCCAGCATTGTGTGCAACTTGTTTCCAACGATGTGGAAGTTGCAGAATACCTGTAGCAGTGCCTGTTTTGTTGATAGTTTAAATGGACCGGTCTACTGCCCCAGAATCTCAGGAACAGTTTGGAAGCGAGTGCCACGAAGTGGTTCCTTCATCTTAGGAATTAAGTCATACTCACAAGGGCTTAGATCTGGGGAGTATGGTAGCCCCATCGCTTGAACAAATCAGTCACAGCTTGTGCTGCATGCTGCTGAGCATTGTCATGCTAAATGAGAGGAGCATTCTGCAGAAAGTGTCGCCGTTTTTTTCTCAAAGCTGGTCGGAGATTGTGCTCCAAAAATGAGCAGTAATACTGCGCGGTGACAGTCTGCTGTGGGGGAATGGTATGCGTTAGGATGACACCATCACAGTCGTACACGAGAATCACCATAACTTTCACATTGCTGAGGTTCTGATGAAATTTCGAACGTCGTGGTGACCCATGATGATGCCATTCGTTTGATTGGCGTTTCAGTTCTGGCTGGTACGATCGGGCCCAAGTTTCATCCAGCGTAACAATGCGGCGTAAAAAAGCATCTCCTTCACGCTCATAGCTCTCCAGGTGGGTTCGGGCAGCATCGTATCGTAGCCATTCCTGCATTTCCGCCAATTGATGTGGAACCCATCGTTAAGCAATTTTTCTCATGGGCAGGCATTCCTTCAGAATGTGCAGCACAGTCGTATGCGCTAATCCTGTTTTTCCAGCCAGTTGACGAATCGTTTGGCGGCGATCACCGTCCATTAGTGTAGCAACAGCTTGCACGTCTGCATCGCTGACACTCGGACAACCTGGCCGCAGCATGTCTGCCACGTTTTGGCGTCTTCATTGAATGCTTTCACCTATCTTGCTACGGTTCTGTAAGGCAATGCAGATTCCCCACAAGCCTCTTGAAGCCCTTGATGACACTGTTGTGCTGTACGACCTCTGGCACATTCAATTTTTATCCAACATCGTTGTTCTTGTTTTGAAAACATCCTGACAACACTTACTTTAGGCCGCGAGCTAATACAAGGATCCATTCTTCGCGTCACTCCGCATGTGCGTGATGTAGGCAGGACGAGTCTTTTTGCTGAGAGGTAAGGTAGGTATGTAGTTCACGTGTGGTATACGCGATATTCTTTGGTTTTATTGCGTAGCGTTTTTTCAGCTGTGTTGCCACTATTAAAGATCCAACCCTCGTATAATACATATAAGGTGAAATGTGCACAATACCAAGGCTGTGCACAATGTCAGATCTTTACAATTCTGTAGTGTATTTTTAAATGGAAACAAATTGCTGTGTACTTGCTAAGGATGAAAATCATGTTCTTACCATGAACACAACAACGTGTTTTTGCTTTAAAAAATCGGAGAATTGCAAAAATTCAGTGTGCACATTAAATATTATACAGTACAAAGTCTTTAATCCAGACTCGTTGGGACTTCGGCGATTCAGGATTAGGGGTTTTTCCGGATTATATATCATCAATTTAAACCTGGTAAGATGGTATGCAGAAATTATAAAATTAAAAATATGAAACAGTAATTTATGAAATAAAGAGCAATTATGATCTAAAGGGTATCAAAATTTACAAAAAAAAAAAAAAAAAGCTTAATATTTGTTTGTTTACTTTATTAAACATTTCTTTAAATGCGCGCACGCGTAAAGCATACATTATGCATAGTCAAAATTAAAAAATTACAACCAGAAAACTATTTGATGTGTATTCATAATATTTATAATGACAAGGAATTTGATTTAAATCATATCAAAGACAGAGTACATCAAGATGAAATATTACATTGAGTAAGGAATTATAAGCGGAATAAAATAAAAACATCTGCCCTGAAGATGATAGTGCTGACAGATCAACTTCCAGTTCATTGCATGCCGTGACGTTCTCCCCCCCCCAGAGCAGCGTGAAATTGATAAACAGATTTCGGAATGGTTCGAGAAGCAAAGGATATGCCTTTATCCATTTTTTGCAGCAATTCCACTTTTTGTTTGATGGACATCGAAACATGCTTTTGCTTTGTAGATCCTTTGGGAGCTCCAGCATCGGAAATTCTATTTGACATAATCGAAAGTTCAAGCTTACTTTTTATAAAATCGCTCTAACAGTCTGCAAAAAATAATAAGCCGGATCCAATTAGAAGATTAAGGAGCAACAGAATCTCACACATTAACTGAAATAGAGAATTAGATAATTTTAGCATAGCTTATACCATCCGTTATACATTAAACACACATGCGTAAACATATTCTGCACATGCGTCAATGCATAATGCCTTAACGCATGTGCATAATATTTTATGCATGCGCATATGTGTCTAGGCATGTGCAGAATACGTTTACGCATGCGCATTTAATGTATAACGGACGGTATAAGCTAAGTTAAAATTATCTAATTATCTGTTTCAGTTAATGTTGCAGATAACATTGTTCCTTAATCTTCTAATTGGATCCGGCTTATTATTTTTTGCACACTGTTAGAGCAATTTTATAAAAGTAAGCTTGAACTTTCGATTATGTCAAAAAGAATTTCGGATTCTGGAGCCTACCAAAGGATCTACAAAGCGAAAGCATGTTTCGATGTCCATCAAACAAAAAGGGGAATTGCTGCAAAAAATGGATAAAGGCATATCCTTTGATTCTCTAACCATTCTGAAATCTCTTTATCAATTTCACGCTGCTCTGCGGGGAGGGGGGGATGCGGCGTGCAATGAACTGGAAGTTGATCTGTCAGCACTATCCTTATCTTCAGGGCAAATGTTTTTATTTTATTTAACTTATAATTCTTTACTAAATGTAGTATTTCATCTCGATGTACTCTGTCTTTGATATGATTTAAATTGAATTTCTCGTCATTATAAATATTATGAATACACATCACATAGTTTTCCGGTTGCAATTTTCTAATTTCAACTATGCGTAATGTATGCTTTACGCATGCGCGCGTTGAAAGAAATGTTTAATAAAGTAAACAAATAAATATTAAGCCCTTTTTTTTGTGTGTAATTTTTTTTTTTTTCTGATACCTTTTAGATCATAATTGCTCTTAATTTCATAAATTACGATTTCATATTTTTAATTTTATAATTTCTGCATGCCATCTTACCAGATTTAAAGTGAGGATCTATAATCCGGAATCGTCGAAGTCCCAACGAGTCCGTATTAAAGACTTTTGACTGTATAATACTTTACTGTTGTTGCAAGTTTATTGCTATTAAAAATTGGGATATTCATGGCAACTGATCTTCTGATTTTGGCAACTGATCAAGATGGTTCTTATAATGAGAAAGTACCAAAATAATTGTTAATGTATTTCTCACCCTGCTGCTTTTTAATTACTAGCAGCTTTTATTGATTCTTATGTACAACCATTCTGGTTCAGTTGAGTGATTTTTTGCAGGGGAAAAAGAAAGTGGTGATTTGCAGAAAATTTGATATACATATGTTGTATATTTGAATTAGCTTATTATCATGAAAATTAGTCAATAGACCTATTTATAACTAGGTTTGTATTTTTTTTTTTTTTTTTTTTTTTTTTGCTTAAATGGAAAACTTGTGACAGTCACTTCAAGAATAGATTTTCCCTTAAGCAGTTCTCTGACAAATTACTATATTCCTGCTGAACATTTACAATTTCTTCTATTCTTGCCAAATCCAAGAAGTGCGTATTTTAAAGTTGCTTTAAAGAGAAAAGTATGATATTTTTTTTTCTTTTAAGAATCATTGGAATACAACAAAAGAATGCATACAAATGTAACAGCATTGATTGTTAAAATTGAAGAATTGTTATGTCCATGATTGCCAAAGTCTGTTACATTTTGAAAGTTTTAGTGATTTCTGTTAAGGTGGTTGTGCTGATGTTTGAGTAATCCTTTTATCAATCAGAGAAAATGACCATACTATAAATGGGTTTGAAATTTGGTATTTTAGATTATAACCCTTTGGCAGTTTTGAGATAAGGAAATCTTTCTTTCCAAACACGTGCGATATATGTCGGTTTGTTGTAAATTTGTAATATAAGCTGTGCCTACTGTTGTGTGTAACTGGCATGCGAGCTGAGCTCGTTATTGACTATCAAAAGGTTAAGAAATTTGTATGCATGGATTTGTTGATTATTTTTGCCTTTTCTCAGTCTGTTTCAGAGTGAAATGATTTTATTGCACTATAGAACCTCAATGTCTAAGATGATATATGCGAGAAAATTATCATTCCCTCAGTTATCTTTTTCCTGCATATGTTGTGTGTCATTTTTGGTCCCTTATCTCATTTATTCCAGCATCCATCATTCCTTGATGTATTATTTTATTACATTAGTCATATGTAAGTTAAGGTCTTGGTGCAAAAAATTTTCTGAAGTGAAATATGCATTAATTATTTACATTTCTTTCTCTTTAGATTATAAATTGTAAGTTTAATACAAAAGCTATACAATAATACACAAGCACTTTTCCTTTTGTTATTTAATTATATTTTGCAGTATTATTTTTCTGTTAGTTGTCTCTGGTTTTTCCTATTACTTTTTAGGTTACTTTTCCATTACTGCCCCTTTTTGATGCTAAATTGACACTTGTGGACTTATTTATTTTCTTGCAGCTTTGGTTCAGCACTAAATGGAATCGAACAATTAGAAGCAACATCAGAAATCATTTAATTTCATGGCAGAATCCTCCAAAACCCACTGTGTGAGAAGAATACAGCCTACATTTTTTTAAAAAATCTTTTTATGAATAAATTTTCTTCAGTTTGAACAATTTTGCTACATCCATCAGTTTTAACAGTAGGACACATTAACAAAAAATTATTACAAACAAGAAATTATCTTGTATAATTAATCCAATCGATCATTGTGTTTTTATTCATTTGAAGTGAGTTTTGTTCACAAAACTTGATAATATTAACTTGTGACACCATAAGTAATTGAATCATACACCGCTAATAAAGGAATGAGTAATCCAATAAATATGTACAGACAACATTTTCTTCCTGGCATGAGTAAAAACTGCATAATCTTTTCAGCTTAGTCAGATTGAAGTGTTATTTCATGCAAAATTTTTCTTTATGAAGAATATCTGTTTTTTTGAAGAAAGAGGATAAATTCATGTTATTCATTGTAATAAAAATCCATTCAGGAACAACCCAGATCCTGACACCTCATGCCAAGGAAATATACCATAATAAAGCACAAGTGTTAATGCAAAAAAAGTTTTTTAATGGAAAAGTGCCAAATAAGATATCTGAATACCAATGTGGTCTGCTGGATCTTGGATTGCTTTGGTTATTGCCACATTGAATTAATGTTGCTGTTGAGTTATTGTCACTATTGAATTTTGGAAACAAAGCTTCAAATGAATCAATATAATGGTTGATTGGAATTAACCCTCTCAGCGTTACAGCCGGAAAATTCCGCATAGAAGGCTGGTTTCTATATTCATTATACATGAAAATTTCTGCTAGTTTTTAATGTATCTGATTTCGGTTTGGATGTATATTGGAAGAAAAGGAATGAAGGTACAAAATGAGAGAGTTATTTTTTAATTAAAATCAAGAAAATTCCACTTATTCATGACATTTTGAGGAACTTTGAAATTTCGGGGCTAAACCCGTAACGCTGGAGGGTTAATTACACACAAGAAATTATGTATTAAGTTCTCATCAACTCATTGTAACATTAAAATTGGTGGATTTAATAGAGAAAATTTTTATTAGATCATTATAAATGCATAATTAAAACTTTATAATTCAGTAATTAATTTAAAAAAATTATGTAATTGAATTAATAATTGTAGATCTGGATTATTGAAATTAAAACTTTCCAGTTTATAAACTACTACAAACTGCAAAAAATTTTAAGATCTAAGGTTTGTGAATAGGAATGGTATTATGAAACAATAAACTTCTTTGGAACCGAATTTGCGATTCATGAAAGAGTATCATTTGTAAATTGAAGAGGTTAATCTTTGGATTATGGTAACTTGGCGATTTTTTGGCAACCAACCCTGCTACAGCAACCTGCTAGTTTTTGTTTGGATGCCATTTTGTTTTCACAAAGTAAAGGCATGTTTTTTTTGGTACTTTTCCGTTTTGCCGGCGAAACCAATAAAGTCGCCAATAATGGTACAACTGATGCCAAAGGGAATATCCTCGTTGGTAACATTTTAAGCCTAATTTTCAAAACAAATCGCAGCCATTTCTTATCAGATTGATTGGTTCTTTATATAATGGCATACGATTACATAGAATTTTTAACAGATAGTACAATTTTATGCTCTAAGGCCATTTATGGTAAATAAGTCAATTAGAATGCAATCACACCGCTCACCTGAAGGCGAAAATATAGAAAAGCCAAAGTCAAGGGTTAAATTCATCAATTCTAATTGAGAATGCACTAGCGAAGTAAAGCACTGCGGTTTTACATAATTTCTGAATAAGCTGTCCGTATGAATTAAAGTAATTCATGCATTTAAACTTGTATTCCAAATTAAGAGTTAACTTGAAATTAATGTAGATAATTACTAAGAGAATTATATTTTTGTAGCGTAGTTTGCGTGAGATGAGATCACATGGGGGCACGTGATACAGACCGCCGAATCAGAATGTTGAACCATGAAAGCATAGTAAATTCTTAAATTAATGTTGTTTTACAAATTTATTGTCTTTATTTATTGGCTTTTTAGAAAATTTTAAACAATATTAAAATGTTTATGCCTTCAAAATACAAAATTCTTAGAACTAACATTTGCTAAAAATTTTTTATGTGTATGTTGTCGCCAATTAAGCCTGCTTGGCGAGATTTGCACCGGCGAAACAGAAAAGTATTTTTTTTTTTTTTTTTTTACTCAACATTTTTTCCCAACAATCTGCTAGCTGAATTACGCTTATGGTACAACTTTTATGGAACAAAAGTGCTTAATCATGACAAAGATTAGGTGCGAAATTGGGAGAAAGTCCAGAATCGAAAACTGCTTGCCGCGTTTTTAAGAATTGCACATACAGGGTATGCATGTACATGTTGACCTATTTTCATTTAAAAAAACATCCCAGAATTGCACAAAAATGGTATTGCGCACACTCTTGACTTTATCCATGTACACTGCTTAAGTCCTAGCTAGTAACCTTTATCGCCTTACCAAAATGTCGCCAAACTACCTGTTACCATATTCCAAAGATTAGCCATTGAAGATTTGTAAAAGTCTGAGTTCTCCATGTCTTATTTCAGATAATGCTGCTATAATAATAATAATGCTAAAATATTTGTGTATTACATAAATTTCTGGATTTTTATTGTCAATGTGTATCTTCATACTTGCCTAAAAAAATTGCACAATGTCTTTTAACTACATGTGTACATATTGTACAGTATCTGTTTTTCAATACAGTTGATGCAGCTAGTAAGCAGGGACTCATCACCGACTCATTACAGTGTTGGGAAAGATATTTCTGGTATAATACGGGAAGTTGGAAATGCTGTCACTACACTGAAACCTGGTGATGAAGTTGTAGGTAATAGAGTGCATTTTAAACTTGAATAATGAAATAAGCCTTTTTTGTAAGTGTGTATTATGTATATAACATTGCTGAGCAAAAGTTAAAACTGTTTATTCTAATGTGTGTTGCCAAAAACAGATTAGTAATCTTGTAGTTTCAAGAGCAAATATTGGTTTAAATTGCCAATAAAGTAATTATTTAAATGCAGAAAAATGATAAATGCTAAGCGTATATTATAATTTATTATTTGGCAACAAACTTGTTGCTACAGACAGGTAATATGGACAAATAACTGTATAAATATTTATCTATGTTATATATGCAGTTTTGTTTCCTGCATCTACTTTTTACAAATAACTTATCTTGTTATTAATATGTTGCATCTCCCTTTCTCCTAAACTTTGATTAGTAACACTTAACCATTATTTGTGTGACTTAGAAATCAAGTTCCTGAAAATCTGGTTTATTTTAAAAACTGCTTATGCTAGATTTTTTCTTGAAATGTGTTTTATATATATATATATATGTATTCATGTTAACCCTCTTACCAGCAAGGCCATATATAGAGAGCTGGAATAATTTTTGTGATGTCTGCAAGGTATATATACGTGTATATTTGTGATGTCTGGAAGAAGGTTTATATTGCCTTAACCATTATTAAGGCAATATATGAAAAGTACATATATTCAGGTATAAAATACAAATACATTTTGACATTAAAATAAAGAAAATAATTTTTTCTCATGGTAGTTTTGTGGACTTTGTGCTTTCTTAGCAAAAATCCAGGTCGGTTAGAGGATTAATAATTGTACATATTAGCAGGATAAATTACAGTTTCAGTTTTTTTATGCACTTCAGTCTGATAAACTGCTTAATTTAACCATTGATTTTATTTAAAATATTTTTCATATATTTTGCAGGTATTATTCCACTAGATTATGGCTTTTCTGGTTGCGCAGAATATGTCGTTCTTCATGAATTTGATGTCAGTAAGTGCTAAAATTTTAATTAAAAATTTTGCTTGAAAAATTTATTTATAGGCATCAATTTTTCAAAATTAATTCTTTTAGAAAATATTTTTAAATTATGATTAAATTGTATCAGTTTTTCTTTGTTGTTTGGGAAAAAACTGCATTTGATAAATTTTTGTAAAATAATTGAAAATAAAACATTGCTTCAAAGTCAAAAGTATATCTTTTACTGTATAAAAATATATCTTTTACTGTATATTGCAAAAATTCAAGATGCATATAGTATATTGATAGTTATTTTTATACATTGGTGTGTGATTTTTAACAATGCATCATATATTTTATCACAACTGAAACACATACAAAACAATTTAATAAAATAACATAATAAAAATAATACAATAAATTGTTGATTATTTTGTTTGGTGTTTCTCAAGGAGCAGCTGAAGAATTTTCAACAGAGCCATATTTCTGCATTATATCTGAGTTCTTATAAATTCAGGAAGTAATTTAAGAGAAAGTGCAAAATAAAAATAAATTTAATTAAACTATTAGTTTGATTTCGGCCTTAATTTCTAAAATTAGAAATACCAGAGCCCTACAGAAGGCCATCAGTGAAATATAAGATAAATATTATAGTAATAAAATTACATAGTTAAAAAATAAAATAATTAATGATTAAAATAGTGAATAATTAAAATACAAAAATAACTAGCAGTTAAAATTCAATAAAAATGTAATGACAAATGAAAAACTTTTTATTAAATTAATGATGAGTAGTTAACTAATCAAATAAAATACCAGATCTTGTCATACTTGGGTATTTGACTGGAATTATAATTTCATAAGGAGAACTAAGACATAGCTGAGCTGAGCATTAGCAAAATTTATGCCGTGAATGAATAGGTAACGTACTATTTCAAAGGGTGTTAGAAACAAAGACTATGATTTTTTCCAGTGTATCAGTAAAAAAAAAGGGGGTAAAACAATTAAAAACCACTAACAAGAGCACAGAAAAGCTATGAACAGTACCAGAGTATTGAAGGAAATTTGGTTACACAGTCCTTTCATCTAAAATGGAGTTTGTCTTATTTTCCATCCCCCTTGTCACCTGCAGAGGAATGTTTTCTCCCCCCGCTGTACACCTGATTTCAGCCCCATGTGCAAGATGAGGGAAGAGATGGGAGTTTTTCTCTATCTCTAGTTACCTTTTCATTCTTTGGCTCTTAAATGTCTTAATTCCTACTTTCACATTACCAATTTATACTGATATTGACTAGTATTAAATGATTTTTTTTTCAATGAATTTCGATTCATGATTGTTAAAGCATCTTCTTTTCATTTCTAATGTATTTTTTTAATCTTAATTTAGATGTTAATTTATTTACATATTGTACAGAATTTTAAATCAAAAGGGTTGCTAAGAAAGTATCTACTCCTTACTATAATTAAGTAAGTGTAGTAAGATCATTATTTTTGTATATTAAATTTCCACATATGTAAAGCAGTTCTTACTTTTATGTGGTAACAAGGCATTATTTATTTTTCATTTGCCATGTTCTATCTTTTTAATTGTGATTAGTGCAGAGTAATATTTCAGGAATAGCTTATTGAAATGAGGTGAAAATTAACTGCTTGATTAGTGTAAAATAACATTTTTTGAATACCACAATTTAGTCACTCACTGGGGGGGGAAAAAAAAAAAAAAAAAAAAAAAAAAAAAAAAAAAAAAAAACTTTTTACTTGATGACTACTCTGATTTTGATTAAAATTCTTAATGATAAATTAGGATGCTAAAAATTTCTTTTCATCTGCCTGAGTTTAAAGCAGCAATATCTTTAAAATTCTTGCTTTGGGAAAATTTGCATATTATCGAGTACATTTCCAGTAAAGAGCATTCTATGAAGACACCTCTTCTACTATGCTGACAGGTTTCATGTGCCTTGCAATGATCACAACCCAATCTTCCTCAAAGGAGCCAATCAAAAATATGATACTTTAATTAAAATTCTGAATTAGATCCACTTTAGTATCTCCATTATTATTGTATTATTTCTTTATTTTTGAAATAAATGTAACAGTTTGTCTGTTCAGGCTATATTAAGTAATATCTAGAACAAAGGTCAGTTGGGAGCTATCAGTAGATCACCACAGCATTCTTGATTGCTTATATGAAACTATATTCCTTTTGAGCTAATATTAAAAACCATTATAATAAATACATGGTTATATAATAAATTCAAATCATGATTGGTAAGTCTTAATGAGCGTACCTGTAGCAATTGAAACTGAAACTATTAATCTGTATTGGTAATTATCCAGAACTGAACTGAAAAATTCAGCTGTATCATAAAATATTCATCAGATACACAATTTCAAAGTGGCTTTAAGAATATTGTTTAAATTGCAGAATCTGTTTCAATTTTTGATGCAACAGAATGTTACATCTTTGACATTTTAAAGGTCAACATTATTGTTATTGTAAATTGTTAATAAAGCACTTAAACAAGCATTGTATAATTCTAATTTAAATGCCTTAAATAGGCAAATAACTATCAAATGACTTAAAATTTTAGAATGTTGCACACATTTTTTAAAATTCATTTAAAATATAAAGACATAATAATACAATGTAAAATACTGTTATCCAAGCTATATTGCTATGTGGAATATCATATGCAAAAAAGTGAGAAAAATTCAAGAAGAGAACATCTTAACCCAAAGAAATGTCTTCTGAATTAAGGAGGAAGAAGGTGCTGTAGAATTATGATCCATTTGTTAGGGGCCAGTTAGAAGAGATTTGGGAGAAGGGGTATTGGGGAGGAGAGAAAATCATGAGAGAGTGGTCGATGGAGGATCCAGTAATGGGGTAAGGAATTTTAGGGTATAAAAGAGCATGGCTACAGAAAATTTTAAAGGAGATGTGTAGGTGTGATAGAAAGAGAAGATTCCAACACCTGACCACTGATATTTCTGACTATGATTCTGCCTGTAAGGAACGAAAAATTTATTCACTCTCATAAATTCATTGCACTTCCTGGAGAATAGACCTTTTACATGTGAGTGGGAGCTTTTCTGTCATCATTCTTTCATCTAAGTGCTTGTTTCCTAGAGAAAAGCAAGTATTCAGAGGTTAGAAATGGTTTTCAAGGCAGACTTTTTATTAAAATAAAATTTTCAAAATCCAAAGAATTTTCTTCTGAAATTGTTAAATTACATAAAAGAAGTGCTGAAGCCCTCTAAATATATAAGGGCTCTGGTGTGCTGTGGCTTCAGTTAAGATTTATATAAAAAAAATTGAGAAGTATCAAAGCTAGGCTCCTGTGGGCTGCAATGTAATTTTTAAAAAAATTAAATTTTTTAAAAATTTTAATGATTATCAAGATATAATCTGCTTTGGCCTGAACCTAAAAATGTTACCATGAAAGTAAATAAATAGAGAAAATAATTCTCGTAGTAAGAAACCAGAGAAACAATTGACTAAATTAAAGACAATGTGCTAACTAAAAGCTCAACTGTCTAGTGTTCTCAGGAAATGTTGAATTCTAGATACATAAAAACTTTGGATAATGGAGTATGTAAAAAATGCAATTAGTAACTAAATAATAACTAAATAAATGAGAGAAAAAAAATTCCATTCTAAAACTATAAAAAGAGTAATTTTTGTTTATCAACACGAATATCAAATGCCTACATTTAAATTACGTTATTTAAAAAAAAAAAAAAAAAAAAAAGAGCATTTCAGGTATAAACAGCGTAAAAATCATATTTGATTACGAAACTCTGTCAACCATGAAACTGGGTGCGATCCCACAAAACTTATACCAGCCATTCTGGCAGAAATTGGATAGAACAGCTCACTCTGTATTTAGTTGATCAACCTATAAAAGTTACATAACATATAAAAAACTTAAATTGCTATAATTTTTCGCATTGTGCAACCAGAGTTTATCCATTCATGTCTCACTTTTCTTGATGGCATGATCCCATAAACTTGAAAATACCCTACTGCATGTTATTTCATTCAAGACAGGTTTCAAATTTTAATCATTTTTTCAAAATGTGATTGAAAAAGAAGTGAAGAGCAGTTAACTTGTGTCATTTTATGCAAAAATTAAACTGACTTATCCAGAATTAATTTGATTTACATAAAGACAAGGTGTTATATCATGTTTATCCATTATTGGTGCTAAATTGCACTGTGGGTAACAGTTTTTGTTTGACTCGAATCATAGTGCTATTTGTGCTTTATAATAAAGTTACAAATATCATTTTTTTATTGTTGTTGTTTAATTTTACATTAAAAAAGTTTGAAAATATTACTTGAGCTTTTTTATTAGTTGAATGTCCGATAATCAAGCTTTTACTGTATTTAAATAAATTTCTAACCAAAGAAAGTGCAAAACTACTAAAAACCATTTTAGATCAAAAGCAACTATTGCAAATGAAAAGTAAATGAATTTACTTTTCCTTTTCAATTCATTCTTATTAAATTTGATTACTGAAAAGTTAAATGTTAAAATATAAATTTAAAAAATAGTTTATAAGTTGGGGGAAGAAAAACTTTTTAAAGTATTTAAATCAATAAAATTATTTAAATTCATATAAGTAAATAAAGTGCTGTAAATTTTAAGTGTTTGTAAAAAAGAATTTTAAGAAGAGTAATATGCGGGTAATTGGGAGTAAAAAAGTAGAGAAAAGGAAAATGCAAAGTAACAGAATAATTAAATTAATATTTATTTGTCACTTTCTTTTGAATTATTTCCAGAATTTATAATCATCCAATTGTAATTCAGAAACATGGCTATGTTGAAAATTCTTAAGCTGCTCCTTGAAACGACAAAGAGTATTTTATTGAATATTTTTTATTTTTTCATTTTTGATGTATGTACTTTGTTAAAAATGTTAGCTCCTTTTTTATTTAATAATTTTTAATATATTAATTAATTTTGCAGCATACTGCAAAACTTTAATAATTTCTGATCTTATTTTGAAATTACTAAACTTTTATTTACATATATATCCGCCAATGAAATTGCTTTTGAAGTAATTTTTATAGGAGGAAAAGTACATAAATAAACAAAATGTGTACTAAAACTTCAGCAAAAAAAATTTCTTAATAATGAATCCATGTTCTAATTTCAGTGTAACATTCTGCACATGAATTGAAACTTTGGATTTAGTAAATAAAAGTGTGTTTTTAGGTGCTTTTCTTTACCATATTTTCTATTTCTAATGGCAGAAATATCTTTACAAATAGTATTTTCAAGAATTTATTCTTGTTCACTCTTGTAAACTTGACCATTGCACAAAATATAAACAAGATATAAGTATAAATAAAAGCCAAAAAGATTTATACAAATATATTTTTGACAAATGTTAACTGCATAAATGATTTACAATCAATATTAAAATGGAAGAGAATATATACCTTGAAATAGGAATTTACCTGTAGCAAGAAATTTCTTGAGATTCATATTATTCATAAAGAGGAAGAACTAAGGTGTGAGCTGAGAATACCTTATAATTTTGGTAATAATATAAATTCATTTTATTAATGAAAATATTGCTTTTACTTGAAAGTAAGACTACTTTTTTCCTCCCCTAATCCCCCCCCCCCGAAATTTGGTACCATCTAATAGATGTGCTGTTTTGATAAGTGAATTTGCAGAATGAGATGGGGGATTTTTAATTATTTCCTGTGGAGTAACAATACTGTTATGCATTATAATAGCAGAATGCATTATAATAGCTACTAGCATAACTACTGCATTATAATAGCCATGTGTACAGAGTGATTTTAATAAGCCCTTCATTTGTTATATCAATCACAAGCATGTCTGAAAACAAATAATTAAGTGTTGTATCATTTACTCTTTCAAATTATTTTGATGTATTATAATAGGATCTTGCATTTAATTAGATAGCTTTATCATTCATGCTAATCAGAATTACTGTTACTCTCATTTTTATTTCTTAAAATTTAGTATAAAATGTAAGGCGAGTCTTATTTTTAGGGAGAGTAGGTTTAATATATTAAAAATACAGAAACCTTTCATTATGCGATTCCGAATTTTCTGAAAAGTGCAATTTTGTTTATATTCCAAAATTAAATGTGGACTATGGGCATTTATGGATTATGTGGTCAAGATTTGTGGAATTCTGTTGTATTTGAAAGTGAAAAAAAATTTTTGTTTTATTTTATTGGTATGAGAGCAGGTAAACTATTGTTTAATAAGTTTTTTTTTTTTTTTTTTTTTTTGTTTTGTTATAGTAACTCTGATTGAATACATGCAACTGAAAAGCAATTGTTCAGTGTTATTTTTTTTTTTTTTTTGGATTAAATAAATGCAGGTGATATAAAATGATTAAATAGTGTGCAGTTGCTTTAATTTTTTGTTAATATTTGATCATTTTATTGATGCTTTATTTCAGTTATCGGTGTCTTTTTTTTTTTCAGCCAAGAAACCAGAACAAGTCAGCTTTGTAGATGCAGCAGCTTGCATCGGTGATGCTGTAAGATCTTACACAGCCCTTCATTATTTGGGGCGTCTTAGCCATGGGGACACAGTACTTATAATGGATGGTGCTTCAGCATTTGGGAGTCTCTGTATTCAGTTAGCTCATCATTGGGGAGCAAAGGTATGAAATTTCGATAAGCGAAGCATTACAAAAAATTGGAAATAAATATGAAATTTTTAAAATATTAAAAGATGGGCGAGAAACTCTTTTATGAAGACTAGCCACTTGCTCAACCAGCTGTCTAATTTAATTTTAAGAAAGGAAAAATGTATATGATTTGAATGAATCCAGCTAATGTAATTTTCATTGGTTCAGCTAGTAATTAATAATGATTGGAATGAATCTGCATTTATTGCTCTTATTATTATTTTGTAGTTTGTTAATTAGTATCAGAATGGATTTAAAAGAAAAATTATATACATTAAGCTTTACTGAAGAACAACTAACTGCAGTGAGTTTGTTGATTAAATTCAGAAGACAATTGTATTGCGTTTCACCAAATGGCAACACAGTTTTTTTTTTTTTTTATTTATATAACCAAGTTTTCTGATTCAGTTTGAAACATAAATAGCTTTTGTTCTGCCGAGTGGCAACACAAAGCTTTTATATTACCGAGTATTTAATCAAAAGCTCCTTATATTTGCACGAAATGTGAAATATTCTTAGATAAATTGAGATTAAAATCAATGTAGTGATGCACAGAAGAAAAATTGTTACTTCAAAGAAAGAACTTGTTTTTTAGCATAAAAAAGAAGATGAATATCACAGTAGCTCAAATATCTGTCAAAAGTACTTACTTAATATACTGATTTGGGGACAAATTACGAACTGTCATAACTGTTGGTATTTTTGCAAAACTTTGTTTCATTTGCCAAAAGAAAAGGGTGTGTGGGGAAGGGTGTATGATCATAAAAGAAATTATCAAAAATTTGCAAAAATTGGCAGGTAAATAAGTAAATAATAATAGGTGTGTAAATAATACACTCCTATTAAGCTTCTTTAAGCAAAATCAGTTTTCAGTTCAGTTATTTTCAATCATTTAGCGTTTTTCTTTCCTTTTGTGGTTTTTGGATGTATGTAATTTTTTAATTCGGTACAATGTTTAATGATATTTAGAAGTCATAATTATTCCATGCCATCTTTTTTGTTGAAGTTTTCACTCAGAATAAAATTGACGATGTCCTTTTACAAATATGAGGGTTGAAAGAATTTGGTCATACTTTGATTACTGGGAAGCTCACCTCATTGCATGAAATAAGTAAATATTTGTTAATAAGAAATATTTAATTTAATTTGGCTATATTTTGGGGGGGATTGTATGCTGAATTTATATCTTTCAAAAATCTGTAATTTAATAAGAATAAAAGAGTTTATTAACTTTGTTTTAAATACTGCTTAGTTTTAAAGTATCAAAATTCTGTAGTTGATGAAATTTCACACATTATCAAGATATTAATAAGGTATTTTAGTTACAAATAGACCTTGTATAGCAGAAAGGCTGATTTTCAGTTGTGTTCCTATTATTGTGTATCATTTTGCTGCACATATTGATAATGTTTATAACAAAATGAAGGAGAAAATATAAATTTCCACATGTATTTATTCAGAATCAGTTTGCATCTTTTTGTACATGCATTAGTTTCAACACTTTAAGGGCAGTTGTATAATTAAACTTTACATTTAAGCTTATTTCTTCAATTTTTCTCTTTTTTCCTTTGTTTTTCTAACCCCCTGCATTGACTTATTCTATTTCCCGTCGATAGCTATATATCATAATAAAAAAACACCACACACATTACACAGAAATAACACACTCTAATTTTCAATACATTTATTTTCCATAGTGACAATCTGACGCTAGGTTTCACCTTAACATGTGAATCGCAAGTTTGAATAGTAGCATAACATATGAATCGCAAGTTTGAATGTACCACAAAAATAAATTTTTTCACAGAACACATTTCAGCGTCAATTCTGGTGGCACATGCACTATTAGCCAAGATTCTGCTCTGGTGCCAAGTATTTCTCAGCTAATACAAAACACTCCCGGCGTTGAAATTAACAATTTCAGAACTATTATTACAATAAATGTAAATATAAAGGCACTACAATAAATTACTTCACAATAATAAATCACAATATTGAAAAATATACATTCAAATTATTACAACAAATACCAGTTTATAATAGAAATAAACCATCATTCTACTGAAAGTATACATATATCTCGAACATTTCGTTTCAGCAAATGCTGATTAGGCAATCTTACAGTTATCACTCTTATTTTGTTATCCCTACCATGAAAAACCTCAGCTATTCTCCCCACTAACCATTTGGTTGAAGATAAATTTTCATCGTTTATTAACCCCTTAACTGCGTATATATACGTCTTGCTCAGCCGATGCGTTACTGCCCCAGATGCGCAGCCGATGCGTTAACTTTGCGAATAATTTTAGGTGTAGCAGCGCAAAGCAAATGATAGCAGTTTGAAAGGACGTATATATATGCCTGGGGCAGTTAACGCATCGGCTGAGCAAGGCGTATATATAAACGCCCGCGGCAGTTAAGGGGTTAATGCAAGAGTTCCCAATTGAACGTCATCCTTTAAAAATTTCCACTTGTGACGTTCTTGTAAATTATTAAGATAATCACGTTTCCATAATTTCCAAATTTTTTGTGTATACTTAGTGATTCTTTGCCATTTAGAAAGTCTGTTTTCATTTATGTTGGGTAAATCTGGCTCAGCTAGTTGTGATAGGTCTACCAACCAAAAAGTGACCTGTGGTCAAAGTTTCAAAATTATTGTAATCAGCTGAAATTGGAGTAAGAGGTCTTGAGTTCAATACTCCTTCAATTTCAGTTAAAACAGTTAAAAATTCTTCTAAAGTTAAATAACTCTCTTCAAATGACTCTCAAAGGATTTAACCCCGACCTCCCAAATTCTGCCGAAATTTGGCGACTTTGGAGGAATAAATTTCCACTCTATACCTTCAGTGGTATAAAAACTTGCTAAATTCTCATCTGGACACTCAACCAATTTTTGCATTTTTTTTAGTCTACATTAGTACCAATAAAGGTTTTAGAATTATTACTCATTATTCCAGTACATTTTCCCCTTCTAGATAAAAAATGTTTTAAGCTCGAAATAAAAGATTGGCTAGTTTGGTCTCTCACAAAGTTCTAAGTGTATGGCTTTTGTACTCATACATACATATACTACGACATAGATTTTGTTCAAAACTCCCTTACGTTGGTTCTTAAACTTTATTGCAAATGGGTTGCAGAAATCAACAGTTATGTTAAATGGGTATGATGGTGTGACATGCTCTTTGGGCAACTCGGCCATTATTTGTTAAACTGTGATGGGTTTGTTCTTAAAACATGTCACACATCTGTATATGATATTTCTACAATTAATTCCTGCCATTGAGTGGCCAGAACCTTTGTCTTACCTGATGTAACAGTGATTGTGATCCTAAATGAAAGTACTTCAAATGAAAATGCTCTAAAATAATAGTAAGGTAAAACTATAGGGTGTTTACTATTAGTGGGTAGGTCCGAATAGGACAATCGTCCGCCCACTCTAATTAGCCCTATGTTATCAAGAAACACATTCAGTGATGCTAATTTATTTTTGAGGTTTACACACTTACCTCTTTTTAATTGATTTATTTCTTCTCTAAACTCACTTTTTTGGGCCCCTAATAAAATATGCACCTCGGCATCCTTTATCTCTTCTAAAGTAAGTACTCCATACCTCCTTACCTGAGGGTTCTTAAGATTATGGATAAACCTGAAAATGAAACTTACAATATGAATATGTTTATTATAATTAGAAGACAAATTAAGAATATTATTAAAGAGGTTTGGTTCATTACATGCAATTAAAACTAAGTTAGAATCGTTATGCAGTTCATTGTCCTTTTTAAGTTCATTTGGACACACTTCTTCAACTACCTCAATTGATAAGTCCTGATGAGGAATCTCTGAGCATGTTAGGAAGTCACAGCATGACCATCATTTGGAACAGTTCACAAGAAAGTCAATTTGAACACCACGCATCATAACATCTGCAGGGTTTTCTTTTGTTGAACAATAGAACCATTTTGTCAACTGTGTTAACTTCCTAATCTCGTTAACTCTGTTGGCGATGAAAGATTTTCATTTGGTACTGGTACCTTTAATCCAGCATAGCACGATTTTGGTATCAGTCCAATAAAATATTCTCGAGGTTTTCTTTTGATCGAGCAATTTTTTCACTCCAGAACCTAAATGCGCTGCTAGTAATGCACCAAATAATTCAAGACGAGGTAACATAATTCTTTTCACAGGTGCAACATGACATTTTGATGCGACGAAACTCGCAGAAATTTCTCTTGCTTACGCAGTTTTACGTAGACAACAGTACCGTACGCCCTCTGACTGGCATCTGAAAAGCAATGGATCTCTATGGAATTGGCTTCGGGTTTCAAAATGAATCTTGGAACTGCAATTTTACTTAGATGATGATACTCACAGCACCACTTTGCCCACTCTTGACAGATAGTTGTAGGTAGTTCATCATCCCATGTCAATTTTCGAACCCAAAGTTGTTGTAGCAAGAATTTAAGTATAACAGTAAATGGAGTTATTAAATCAAAGGGATCAAAATCTTCCTGGCAGTTTTCAAGATGAACCGTTTCATGTTACGCTTATTCTTAAGGAATTCCATCAAACTGTCTGTGTCTATACTCAGACTGTCTTCATTAGTATCCCAAGATATTAAGTGTCTCATTTGAGTCATTGATTTTATGTGGATGGATCTCGAAATCTTCTTTTTCCCATTTTCTCATCAGCTCAGGATACCCATTTACGTAAGTTCATATTTGCTGCACTCGTAATTTGTTTAGCTTTACGCGATAAGCTTAGGGCCTCATCTATACTGTCCTGTCCAGTAATAAAATCATCAACATAAACACGAGAATTCAATATTTCAAATACATCTGGCTGCTCATCTCGATCTTTTCTAATGTGTTCTTTAATGGTTGCAGCCAACAAAAACGGACTTGACTTAATCCCAAAATTTACGCGCTTGAATCTATATGTCGCTAGTTTTAGATAATTTAATTGTGTGTTTTCCACAAACATGAATCGCAACTGCGTCTTGATCCTTTTCTGCCAAAGCAATCTGCAAAAATGCTTTTTTCTACATCCGCTGAAATTGCAACTTTTATTTAATAATCGGAAATTAATTAGCAGATGGAACATATTAGGATTTAAATTTGTCCCTGTCCATAGACAATCGTTCAGTGATAGCTGCCCGAACTCATGTGAGCTGCCATCAAACACTATTCTATCTTTGTTGAAGCACTGGTTTCTCTAAATACTGGTTTGTGTGGTAGGTAAAATACTGGTTTACCGATAGGTATATTTCCTTCTGACACTTTCTCAATAATACCTTGCTTGAGATAATCATCTAATATTTCACTATATGTAGAAAACAGTGTTTTGTCATAATTCATTCACTTTGCAAGAGTTTTTAATCTATTTTCCGCTACTAGGTAATTATCAGCTAATTCACTCCAGCCCCTTTTCCAAGGTAAAGTAACCTCGTAGCGATCAGCTTTAAAACAAACTGTCTTATTAAATATTTCCAATGTTTTGTCTTCCTCATGACAATAAGTATCATCTTTAATTCCTAATGATTCTAGTTCGAAAAACATTTTCAATTCACTCTCTGAATTATCATTTATTAACCCACAATACGATAAATCATTTCTCTGTGATTCATTGATATTTCCACTAACTACATATTCAAACACATTATTTTGTAATATCGAGCCTGTGTTAGAAACATAGATTTTACCAGCTCGTAATATATCATAAAAAACTTCCGCACCTAGCAACAGGTTTACTTTCTCTGGTATATAAAATTCCGGATCCGCTAAATTCACCTTCTCAGGAATCATAAGGTTACTAACATCAATAAACTTTGCGGGAGTTAAACCTGCTATTTTTGGAATTACCAAAACCTCTAGTTTCCTTTTATACATTTGTTCCTGATTACAGATAAGAGCAACTGTTTTTCTTTTTATCGTAGTTGAAATACCTGATATACTGCAAACCGAAATATTTGTCTTTTCCTTTTTAAAATTAAGTATATCCGCTAATTCAGTGGTACAAAAACAAAAAACACTTCCACTATCACATAATGCTTTCACCTTAATTAAATTTCCATCATTAGTCTCAATGAATACAAAGGCAGTAGATAAAATCACGTTTTTCCCACTGTTAGTACCCATAGCGGCTGTAAAGGTTTCATTTTGAGTTTTAGCTTGAAATGCAGGTGCATATACATTTAATGCATTGCTGTTTTGATCATCCAACTCCTGAAGTGTCTGCTCTTTCTACTGTGGTGCCAACGGAATTATTTTTGTTTTGATAACACAAGAGAAAGCTATGTTTTTTCCTACACTTCTCGCACTAGTAATTAGAACGGCAATTTCTTACACTGTGAAAATTAAAACAGCAAAACATAAATTCTGTTTTTTCACAAATTCTACCCTTTCTTTTACACTTAATTTCTGAAATTTAGGACAATTAAAGAGCTTGTGATTGCTCAAATTACATAACCTTCAAGAATTCTGCATATGCTTTTCATTTGCATTAGAAACGACAGCGGTAACTCTGTGTGTAACTTTTTTTGTATTAGTCACACTATTTGAAGCATTGAGAGTTCTTGCATGATCTTTAAGAAATTCTATAAGATCTGTTAAATTAGGCAAATTCTCTTTAACTAATTTTCTTTCCCACCATATTTTGGTGTTAGGATCTAATTTTTACCCTAAAATGTATGCAAATGCATTGGAAGAAAAACCTTTAACACTCTGATTTAAAACTTCTAATGATCTCTCGCATTCATTTGTAATGTCAATTAAGTTTAATATTGCTGATGCAGACTCATTTTGCATAGGATGCATATTCATAAAATCGTCTCAGATGAGCATACACTTGTTCGCGGTGACTAGAGAACTTTCTTCTAGTATGAAAAGGCTAATTTATAATTAGAGTCAACTTATGGATATTGGCTGCACAATATGATAAGCATCTTCTCTTAGTGCAGATTTTAAGTACTGTAATTTGACTGGATCTGTTAAATTAGGATTTGAATCAACACTGGCTAAAAAGATATCTTTAAATGGAAAGCCACTCATGTAAGTCACCTGAAAATGTTGGCAAAGTAATTTTGGGTAATTTAGCATTGCTCTCAGTATTCGTGCAAACCAAAGGCTCTGATTTAATTTCTTTGGAAAGTTTAACTAACTTTACGATTTAATTCGACTTCTACATCTAAGAGAATATCGTCAATCTCTTCTTTCTCTTTTACATAAGCATCAATACTTTCTTCCGTACATAACCCGAACAAAGAATCGAAATTAGAATTTACCTCTGTCTCAAGCACTTTAAATTTATTCTTTAGTACTTCCAAGTCACTTCCTTGGACATTTTCATTTTTGTCCGCAACCTTTTGTTTTATCTTTGTTAACTGTGTTTTCAATGTACATTTTTTTGCTAATATCTCCTTTAGTGATATTTTAATTAGCAAAAGTCAATAAACAAATAAAGAGCTTCAAAAAGGGGGAGGGTACTTTTGTTTCTACAGAACTTCAGTCTGGAAGTATCCTATGTAATTCTTCGTTTCACAAACCTGAAAGTAAATTCACAGTCTCATAAACTTCATTATCTGTTCCAGCTCTGCGCAGCCAAAAAACTTGCATTAACTTATTCTATTTCCCGTCGATAGCTATATATCATAATAAAATAACACCACACACATTACACAGAAATAACACGCTCTAATTTTCAATACATTTATTTTAAATAGCGACAATCTGGCGCTAGGTTTCACCTTACAGTGTAACATACGAATCACAACTTCAAATGTACCACAAAAATGTATCACAAAAATCACCAAAAAAATCAATTTTCTCACAGAACACATTTCAGTGCCAATTCTGGTGGTGCATGCGCTATTAGCCAAGATTCTGCTCTGGCATCATGTATTTCTCAGTTAATACAAAACACCCCCTTTTTTTCTTTGAAAGATTGCATTGATATCAGAATAGGGTTCCATTTCGTATATGTGTTATGAATTGTTTAAATAGAAATATCTGCCAAGATCAACTATAAAGAAAGAGAGGGTAGTGGACCTTGTATAGCAGAAAGGCTGATTTTCAGTTTTTGGGCTGTGCTGAAGAAAACAAAATTGAAAAAATATGTGAGAGATAGCAAAGGAATTAGATGTTTCATACATAATAGTTTGGGAATAACTGAGGGAAAATTCGTTATAACTTTGCAAGTATTAGAAGTTTTTTTAACTGTTTTTCCAGATTTTGAATATTTCTCATGAAAAGGATTTACGTATCTATAAATAATCATTTTGGGTGTTGAAAGCTATTTTGTGTTTTTAAGTTCTACAATTGTGGAAGAACAATGAGAAATACAAGAAAACATTTGAGAAACTCTTAGCCAAGAGAAATTTTATCAAAAGAAAGAGCACATCAAGTGGAGGACGACTGATGGTGACCCTGATGATCACTGATGGTCCTAATGGACTGAAGTTTTAATTTTAAATTTATTCTAATATTCTCATGTGTAATTAATGTGTAAACAAATATATATATATATTAATTAAGTTAAATACCAGAGGGTTTTTCTTGCTATTTATTATGTCAGATGTTATATTATCCTCGCCTTTTTGCTTCTTTGTACAAAGTAAAGGAATTATTATAATCATGAAGATTTTAGGATATCGTATTTCAACAAAAACTTTCATTTTGATTGCTATCGAATGTAATTTAACGTTGGTTATGCGTGAGATCTGTACATAGTAAAGAATGAAGGAATTGAAACAGGTTGCAATTCCTTTATTCTTTTTCCCAAAACGGGTTGCAAAAAAGATTTAAAATGAATTCAGAAGAGATTTTTTTTATAACGTCTGTACCTACGTATGTATGTTATCTCACATAACTCAAAAATGAGTAGCCTGAGAACATTGAAATTTTGTATGTAGGATTGCTATAACATGTAGTTGTGCACCTCCCTTTTTGAAATTAGCTGCTTGAAGTATATAAATATCTATATATATAAATACTCAATCTGTTACTCAGCTCCATGAGCTCAGTTTTTTAAAGTTTTAAATGTTAGTAAATTGGGCATTTTTTCTTGAAAAATAATTGAGTAATGTTGTTCTTATCTTTTGGTTAAGGTTTTTTTGTCTTTAGTTAATCTGCATGCAGTAGTTGTAGAATTATCATCAATTTAAAAGTTGTTTAAGTGTGGTTAAGCTTGACTTAGCAGCCAGCCATATTTGTTTACATTTGAAACTTACCAGAATAGTCAATTCAGTTTCTGCACCTTTAGTGTCATTTTGCCAAGCGAGACCAAAAACAAACTTTCAGTTTTGTACGCCAAAAAATCTGCCTTCTTGCCTGCTGGGTGAATTTCTTGTTTTTGTGTAGAAACTCTAATTTTAATTGTCAAAATTGTTAATTGTTTTATATTTTTCAATTTTGAATAAAGATATTTTGTGGTTTTATGTACTTTTGCCTTGTTACCATGTGAGAACTGAATTAATTGAATAAGAAATATATCTGTAATGAAATCCGAGGAAATAAGTTTGAATGAAATGCAGGAAAAATGCATATAATTTAATATTCAAATGTGGAAGTCATGGTGTAGAATGAGATTTTTTATGTGACTGTTTTGCTGTCAAGATAAAGTACAATTATGAGAATAAATATATCTTTGAAATATAAATTAAAATGAGCTACAAATGTAGCTTTCACTGTTACTGATTTCTTAGGTTGAATAAAAAATATTGTTTAACTAATTTATATTTTTCTTTATTTAGGTTATAACTACTGTAAGCTCTGAAGATGAAAAACTGTACTTGGAAGGCTTGGATGATCAGCTGGCTCTGATTATTGACCTCAGAAAAAAATCCCTAACTCCTTTTACCTCAAATTTTAGGAATGGAAATAGTGAAATGATTTGGTCTGCATGTATGGAAGAATCAGGAGGACTTGGTGTTGATTTGATTATCGACAATGGTGTCACCCTTTTTTCTGATAATGAATACAGAATACTCACCAATGATAATTACACCTATCCAGTTCCAAGTAAACATGAAATAATATCTGCTCTTGCTGTTGGTGGTAGATGGATCACTTCAAAAGAAAATCTGCAGGTAATCATCATGCAAAAATGTTGTATTTTATGCGAACTTCAAATATTGTTTGAAAAATTGTATAGTTCTTGAATATTTCTTTTAAACAGAACTCTTATAAGTAATAAAACTTTTGTTATGAAATTAAAATATATAATCTGAACCCTTCCCCCACCAAAAATATATTTTTAATGGAATGAAATGAATATAGAATGAAATGTAAATATGTAGATTTTTGATAAATTATTTAATTTTATGCACCATTTTTCTATATTGATTTCTCTTTTAAATAAAGCAAATAATGCAGTGCTTAAACCTTCATTTAATTTTTGTTCTTAAAATATTTTGCATTGTTTTTCCCTTTCATTTTATTTTTAAATTGACAAGAATAATTTAAAAAATATTATTGAGTATTTTATAATTTTTCTTTTTTTAAGCTGGATCCACCAAATTCAAGACTTTTGTTTCTAAAGTGTGCCAGTCTTGGTTTCTTGTTTGAACATGCTTGGACTCTGTCATCAACACAACAAGGACAATATCTACGTATCCTTTCATCACTGTTTTGTTTAAAATGTATGTTTTTGAAAAAGAGTAGAACTGAATGTACTACTAATATGTATATTTTATTTTTATAACAATTTCTAATATAAGCGACATTTGAAAAAATCTATTTATTAGAATAAGATTGAATTCTTATCTAGAATACAGTAAACATTTTTTAGTTATAAAACTGCAATGATACTTCTGTTTTACAAAATGTCCTAACTTAATCTTTTTATGCAACAAAAGGTGACACAAATTATCATTGATTTTTTAATGAAATCCACCAGATCTTCTTTACTAGTGATTTTTGTCCCTAAACAACAAGAAACAATTTCTTAACTATTATAGATATTTTGATGGATATTATGGAAAAAGTTGCTGATGGTGTAATCAGGTAATTTTAAATTCTGAAATAAAATGTGGTTGTTTTTATTTAATTTTTGTAAAACGTGATACTTATAAATAATATAAACTTTAATTTATTCAATTTTCTAATATTAGGTAGATATATATTAATATGTAATATATGTTGTTCATCCCCCCCAATGGCAGGCACTTGCTTCTGTCGGCATCGGCCACTCCCAAGGCCAGATATGGTGGTCTCTTTATTATGGAGGAACCTAATAGAGGGTTATAATCATTACAGTGAATATATAGAGAACTTTTATGTAAAATATTAATTTAAATTATTTGTGGCATTTAACTGCAATGTACATTAAAGAAAACTGATAAAATATGCTCTGTGTACTGTGTATTTGTTGTTTTACAGTGAAATGGAACTAAAAAACTATGAATGCGTGAAAATGGTTAAACTGGGGATCTATCATGCATTATAAATGAATAACAACTTGTGAATGTGTTATTTTAAATAAAGTATATTTATTACTTTCAACATAAACTAGTTTGTATGTTAAAAAACTAGTTTTATCCCCCTTCCCTAAAAACACAGTGTGCATTGTTCTTTTCATCTTGGCTGAATCTTGTTTCAACTGAAAATAAATTTTTTCAAGATTTGAAATGTTTTTATGGTACGCATCGCTTCCAATTTGTGGATAGGAAAGCATTTAAAAAAAATTTTATAGTGTTTCAAAAGTATCGATGAAGTTTGGCATCTTTTGTTCGTTATTATCTTCCTGCATACTACTTGTAGATGTAAACTGACAACCAACAGGAATCAAAATACGATCTAAAACTGCATTAAATTTTTCTACTGTTTTGCAGTAGAAGTCATGATTTTCTTCAAACAGTACACAAAACAAATGCTAAATGATTTGCCTTTTTTTTTATTCTTTTAGTAAAAGTTGTCTTTAGATTTCTTTTTTAAACTGAAAAATAAAGACCCATGTGGATCCTTTTTAAAATGCAAAATGGCATTGAGCAGTCATTTATAAAGTGCGAGATATTCATATGTATAAATAAATATTATTAAAATGACTTTTTTGGTATGTGTATGAGTGAGTGAGTGAGTAAATGAGTAAGTACACAATAGAAGACAAAAATTCTGTACAGCTTGGTACATTTCCTGTTGTTAATGAAAAGGTATTAGATTTAGACTTAAGAAGGCCAGAATAAATAGAAATAAATGGATTTTAAACCATTAAATGGACGTTTTCTTTATTTCTGGTCATTAATATGATAAAGCTATTCATTTCTTTTTGACAACTGGTTATATTATGTTATCTAAAAAAGTAAGATGAAAGGCATTTAAAAATTGTTATATCTCTTTACAATAGTGTGTTTTAAAACTTTAGCATGCTTTAGATTTTATTTCCAACTCCTCTTCCAAATCATTTAGAATTTTTATTTCCTGATCAGTTACTCTGTTTTACTCTAAATTTAATTTTTCATATTGTTTGGGGTAATAATCATGAATTGTTTAGAATTGGCCATTTTGGTATGACAAAAAAAGTAATATTTTTAGTTCCAGTTGTGATGAAAAATAAAAATTTGAATATTTTTCAATCATTGGTTCAAGAGTCCTTGCCATGCATAATATTGGTACAAAATATAGCCTGTAATGATAGACTTTACAAACATTCAAGATAAAATGCTGCTGAGAAGTATACATAATATTTTGGAGCTTCATGGAGTGAATAATTCCATCAAATAAATTTTGGGCTCCTCTCACCTTTTGGTTTTGTTAACTGCTATATCATTTTAGGGCTGCAGGTACAGTTTGAAGCTTTTTAACTGTTAAATTTCTATCCCAGCTGGAATTTCAAGGAAGAGAGTCTTGGGGTGTGGTCCGAGGGTGTCCCAACTCTCTTTCTCTACCATCAATCTCTCGAGAAAATTTCGGCTCCCCGTGTAATTTGAGTGCCTCCTCACATGCTGCACAAGCATTATACACTTAACAAGCATCCATGCCTTCTCCGATTCAAATTAGGCCCAGTGGTACAGCACTCAACATTTTAGGGCTCCATGGACGCTAACATGTAACTTTATCTTATGGTTATTTGAGCAAAATATATTTGAGGATAATTGCTTTTTCATGAATTGAATGGCCAACTCATCATCGTTTAATATTTGCCAAATTATAAAATGTATCTCTGTTCCTTTGTCAAAATCTTGTTTGAAGAACATGTTTAGATGAAAACATGATGAATGTTTGCAACATGATTTATGGCCTACAATTGGTATTATTGCAATCTTAAACTACAAAACGTACTTGAACACATTCTAGCTGTTAATGTAAGAGAACCAAAATTTCTGTAATTGCTATCTTTCTTAATCAAAACAGCTTTGAATCTTTGAAGAAATCGGAATGTTTTGAAGAATTCATTAGCCATAATGTTGAATCTTTGAAGAAATCGGAATGTTTTGAAGAATTTGTTAGCCATAATGCAGTTCCGTCAGTTATCTTTATGCAAACTTTGATTCATAGAAACTAATCATGCCTTATGGTACAGGTTGAGTTAGTTGGAATCTTGAAGTGTTATTGTCTTCTAAAATTTCTATTCCAACCCCTCTTTCTGATAATTGTTAATGGTATTGCCTTAAATCTTCACAATATATTTCATAATACGTTGGCTGATAGAGTAACTGTTAAAATTATTCATCCTTAATGCAAATAGGCAATTTTGACTCAGTTGGAAAGATTTATGTTTAAGACATAATATATTATTAAAACGATAATTCCGGTTCAAAAGTATTTGAAGAAAATTCACAACTTACTTTAAGTCTGATAATAATTCTTTCAAAATTATTAGTGGCTTTTTTTAACCATGCCTTTGAATATTTTTTATCAAATATGAGTTCTTATTTATCATTTGTGCATTTTAGGCCAAATGTCTACCATACCGTGTCATTTGATTCTGTGCCAGAAACCATGAAAAAGCTTCCAAATGTCCGTGTTGGTAAAATTGTTATGAAGATGGATTGAAGTTGAAGAAAATTTGATGAACCTATAGCTAAATTTTATTTTCCTTTTTTTGTAGAAGATATATATGTGAAGCAGTCATTTTATGTTGATTTCTTGTGATCGATTTTCTTCTAGTTAGTGCAACTTCAGTGTTGAATGTAAGATTTTCTTTTGGAATTACATGTCAAGTAAATGTAATACAGTGAGTAATTTTTTGGACAAATTGAGCTGGGTATATGAATATTATTTTGATAGTAAAACATTTGAAGATTTTCATAAGAACTGACATTAAAAAATTAAGCAAGTTTATATGAAAGTAAGAAAATACCTCTTTAAGTTATCATTATTTTTTAGTTTAGCTGCATGTCTTGCAAATTAGTTTCTGTAATTGCTGAGTAAACTATCCTAACATGAACGAGATTTATCATTAATATAAATATTTACTGTTCCAAAAATATTCGTCTTGAGAAAATTAATTTTATTGCCCAGTTATTCTAATAGAAATTTTCCCATACTTCAGAATAATATGAATTTCAATTTGCATAGTCAATATAAGAATAGTGCATTGCAGTTAATATCTTTATTCAAATATTTTCATCGTATTGTTATAGTATCTGGATTAGACAATGTTTAATAAGACTGAAACTATTTAGACTTAAAGGATTTAGGAGAGTATATTTGCATTAGCAGCAAATAAATTTTGGTATGTGAATAAAATATGTGGAACTTTTTTTAGTTTTATGTTTATAATTAAGAATGTTGTTGAGTTTAATTTCAAATAATACTTTAAAAGTTATGTCATGGTCTGCGGTTTCCAAATTTAACCATTTCTTCTCAATTTTTTTTTTTTTTTTTTCACAAATTTAGTCTACGAAACTCTGTATAAGAGGGTACAAATTTAAGCATTTGCATTAGTCTACATGTATATTGAGAAAGAATCTTCAGTTTTTTTTTTTTTTTTTTTTTTTTGTTTTTAGAGTTTATTGCAAAAGTAAATGTGCAAAAACTAAGCAGTTTAATATGTGCAAATATTTAAAGAAATCGTATAAAGCAGAAATCTCATTTGAATAAAATTAATTTTATAGTTACGTAAAGAGGTAGATTAAATCATGATGTGCCAAACTGCATTACCTGAAATAAATGACTTACTGACAACTTCAAAAATAATATAGCAAAAATTCCTTTACATTACTAATTTTCATAATTAAAATTTTTACGCAAATTACATAATAAGCTGCTATAATAATTTTGTATCAATTTTTCCAGCTATTGTTCATTAATAACATTGTAATATTCAAACAAATCCATATGCTTAATATAAACAATTAGTAATTTATTAGCCAAGCAAATGCTTAACTGGTATTTTTATAAAAATTTTGGAATTAAAATTTCATGTGCTTTAAAATGTTTAAAATTAGAAAAAATCATATCTGTATGTATTCAAATAACAAGTATCCTATCTAAATTGAATGTGCATAATTGCATAGAAAATCTACATTTAAATTTTCTGCAGAAGAGTATAACACAAATCTGTTAATACCAGAAATATATGTTATTTTCATACCAACTTCAAATTTCTGCGTATGAGTAATTTTTCTTTATGAAGTATTAAAAGGGTATGACTTGTTATGTTGCCATCATACAAAATTGAGTCTTTCCTTGTTAGTCAATTATGATTCTTTTAATACTAATTGTCAACAAGTCAGTTATGAGTTTTTTGACACTGTCACATTAAAAAAATCAGTTAAGTCATTGAATATTTTCTTACAAGTGTACTGCATGATGGCATAATACTTTTGAAAACACATTTAATCAAACTCTTTTCTAAGTCTGATGAATTAATGTATTAAAATTAACTTAAAAATATAAAATATAAGATCAGTTTTATATTAAAAGAATGAGATCAAATTGATATAAGTGTTATTGGAAAATTTAATGTGCGATCAGTAAATTGTATATTGTATAAAATCTACTGTTAAAGGGAATTTTCTGTTGATTTATTTGAAACATGTCAATTGATAAAAATTCCATATTTCTTTCAATGTCACATCACTGTCTAATCTTTTATAAATAGTATGAAAAACGTAATTTAATTAAAATTTTAGGAGGTACAATAATTTCATATTCTTAGTAGGACTTATTAGTAACAACTAAGAAAATAAATCATAATACCATTTCCATATGTAATGAAAAAAGTTCCTACTCTTATTTGCGAATGTATAAATAAACATGTATTCCTTGTCTGTCTGCAAAAATATAATTCATAAAAACTTTTGCTTTCAAATTATGCACCTGCAAAAAATATTTTCTTTCTATAAATAGAGAGGTTTCTGCTGTCTTTGTCCAATATGAGTTATTTATTAAATGATTTCTTTCATTGAATTCCATAAAATTTTGGGGGCTATTATTTTCCTTGTTCATTTAATTCGTTCTTTTTTTCTAATTGCTGCATAATAGTATCATATAGTGCATGTATTTAAGTAGCTGCATTATAGGAGAAAGTTGGGAAAAAAGATCGGTATAAACTAAGAATGATTGCTATCTCTATTTTTTCTTTTAAGAAAACAGTTATTTTTAGTATTCTAGTCATTTATAAATAAATCTTAATTCTATAGTTTATTTTACCTTTTGTATAATACCTTGTGTATTTAAAATGAACTGATGGTTATAAATGCTTTTTGCATCTTATAATACAAGTAAAAAGTTCTCATATGGAATAAAAAGGGGATGTCCTTCTGTGTTACTTATTTATTAATTTAATATTATTTATCAATTACTATTTAGCAAGCTTTTCTTATCTGAGTATTGTTTTCATAAAACCATTCCATATTTTTTTAAATGGTGCATTTTATTTTCTAACATTTTGCAGTTCTGTAATGTTTTTGCTTGCTATTTTTAACATATAATCTTTTTTATATATGTATAAGAAATGTGTAAAAAGTTTTGTGAAACCTTGGAAGCAAGTGTTTAAAAATGCCTGTTTTACTTGCTGGACATTTTAAGATGTGCGATATAGCCTGTGTTATTTATTGATAATGTGGTATTTCATGTGATGTGTATGTTATCATAATCATCTGCACAATTGTTGATAATGGATATAATTATATATGTTACATTTGTATGCAATATTTAAGCTTGTTTATTGTTGTAAATTGTAAATCTTTTGCATTGTACCAAGGAATGGCAATTTTGAAGTTATATAATTAATAATCTGTAATATAAAGTTTAAAGTGCATATAATAAATTTTTAATGTGGCTACAGATCATGAAAATTGTCATGTAACTTAAATTTGTATCTCTATTGGTAATTTGAATTTTGAAAGTAGAATCTTTATCCTTATTAGTTACAAATTTATTATTTAATTATGGCCAGTCAGTTGAGAATTTCATCAGATTTAGGGGAGGAATAAACAGCTTGTAGCAACTCCCTCTACATATAATATTATCTTTGTTGTTGCAAAGTTTAGTTTCTGTAGATTGGCAACAAGAAAAACATAAATAAAAAGAAATTCACTTTGATGTTGGAACCTTAACGTCTTCTTTTATTATTGTGAATTAAATTATGCTTAATCCATTCTGGAATTATCATTTAAGTTATTAAATTACCTCTTGTAATGACTGAGCATAGCATCCACAACAATATCTCTGCCTAAAAGGAGGGATGCCTTCATGAAGGACTTTTTAAGTGAAATTGGCTCATATACACATTACGCATGGGGAAAACCATGGAAATACCCATGGAGCCTTCCCGTTTTCCAGGATTTAAACCCCAGATCGAAATACTAGTGTTCAGTGTTCAGTGACTTTACTGCTGGGCCACTTATAGGCGCTTCTAGAGGAAAGGGACATTAATTAATTATGTTATGCATGCTTAGCTGTGGAAAAGTGCATCAGCAGTAATAATCTTTGCTGATGACATATTTGCTTTGTCAGCTGGAGTCTGAATGGATGGTGATCTCATATTCACCTCCTTTTAAGTGTTAGGGTTCCTGCATTTTTTGCGTTCAAGTTTTTTTTTTTTTTTTTACATGGGGTAAAAATTGATATATAGGAATATTTGTTTAATTTTATTATGATATACACTTGTATCAATTTAAAATTCTTTTAATTTTATTTATTTATTTATTTATTTTTTTATTTAATATCTACTAAAATATTGAAAGAGATATTGAATGTGCTTTGCTGTAAAGGAAGTTGTGTGTTTCGTCATATATGAAATCTATCTTTAACATTAAAATAAGGTAAAATGAGTGATTCTCCTATAGTAGATCTAGGTTGATGTATTTCTAAACATATGTGCTTATGGGAAGAGGCAAGTAAAGAACATTGTTATTTTAGATTGTACAAATTTGTTGCATGTATATCCTTATTCTTTACACAGCTTCACCATGACTGTATGTTTTTCATTTCAGGTAAAAATGTTAAATTTAACACCTATACCTTCAAACAAATAATCAAAAATTATATTTTAATATCTTAAACATTATATAGAAATATTTTTTTATTGAAAAATACGGTCAATGGCTCTATGTTGCTAAATTTGCTTATTCCTTGGTACTACTGTCTTTATGTTGCCATGTGGCATGTCTAACATGTCTGAACACTAATCTGAAGCCCACTCAGTGTAATCATTGGTGCCGCTTGCATCTGTGGTATTTGATTGATAATGCTGTGAGTAGGAGCAACAGAATATGTTGTATTAAAAATGATTTTATTTATTCTTGTGTACTGTTTTCCTTTAAACATTAAAATATATATTGGTCTATATAAATTAATTTTTCTTATCCCAAAATATGAATGGAACATTCATCTTTAGACTGTTATTAATTTTGAAAATAAGTAAAGTTTGCTTCTGATGAAATTTGTTTTGCAACATTAAAATTTGTTTTTGGAAAAAAAAAAAAAAAAAAAAATTGTAAGTACTTGCATAATCACATATATGCAGTAGAGGCTGTTAAATTTGTTTTGTGTAGAATTCAATGTTTCAGTAGTGTCTAAAATTATTTAAATCCTTGTCAGCTAATTTATATTAGCAAAATTTATATAAGCAAAATTCTTTTCTAAAATAACATATTATTTCTAAGCTTTCAAAACTTAATTTTGTACAATGATTTAATTTCCATTCATACCCATTCGGATAGTCGAATTCCCATGTGTTGAAAAAGAACATTTTAATCACAGTTAAAATGTAAAAAAAGTACAAATTGTATTTAAATAAGCTGACTTTGTTACGTTATCAAGCATTATACACCAGAAAACTAGAGTGAGGTGAGAGAGGAATTGTCTCAGGGGAACAGTTTAAAGGGGTGTTAAAGTAGTTACAAAAATAAAAGATTAAGGAATAAAATGTAATACTTATTCAAATGTTTATTTATTTATATTATAAATCATCACTATTTATTTTAAAACCTTATAAATATAATTAATTCTCAGATCTACAAAATTTTATTGCATAGTTTTTTTTTTTTTTTTTTTTTTTTTTTTTAAGGATTAAGAGAAAAAAATTGGGCACATGATCAACACATTTATGTAATGAATTTAGACTTAAATTCATTCTTAAAAGTACAGTGAAACTGAACTTTGTATACTCTTTGTGAACACTGATATTGTTAGAATTAATACATATGTACTAAGTATTTCATGAGATGCAGGAGCAGAAGATATTCTTCACCTATCCTCCATAAGTTTGGTGTCTTCTAATACATAAATTTCATTATGTATTAGAAGTTTTATTATTTAGTTTTAAAACTACTCAGTTTTAATAATTGTAAACGCTAAAACAATTAACAGTTTAGGTCTTTACAAAGTAATTCGTGAATAAAAAATCCATAAATTTTGGAAGTTTTATTAAGACTAATTTTAGCTTTGCTTTAACTGCATTTGAAATAAGCTGTGTCTGATAAAATACTGGAATGTTATTATAACACTTTTTTTTTTTTTTTTTTTTTTTTTTTTTTTTCAGTTTATTATTTTGACTGAATTTTCAATAAGTATGTTTGACTTCTTGAATAAGTATGTTTTTGTTTTGTATTTTAAAATAGCTTGTTTTCATAGTAAAAACCCCTCCTTTTTTTTCCATGCAGTGAAATATGAAAAAGTGGTATGCTTAGAAAAGCATTTTTATTGGTTTCTGAGAAGTACTAATTGTGTTGAATAAAATAATTATCTGTTTAATAATTAAATATGGGAATATGCAGTGTTCAACTGCTTTTGAGCATTCCCTGCATATTTTCATTGATAAAGATGTTTCAGACACTGTTATTGCAATTTCATTTTAATAAAAGTGTTAATCTTGTATAAAATACATAACTTATTGAATGAAAATATGTTTATTTTGAGATAATTTACAAGCTTTAATGTAATAAATGTACAGTCCTTTTAGTGTATTATCATTGCTGAGAAAGATTGTTAACCAGTTAACTGTGATTGACGAGTATACCCGTCATGGAGAAGTGGCACGATTTTGTGTATTGACGAGTATACTCGTCATGCTTATAAAGCAGTGTAAGTAACGCGCATATAAAGCAACATAATAGAAACAGAGAAAAGAAAAATAATAGCAAAGAAACCGGAGCTAGTGATTGATTATAATAAAAAAATTTGTGGAGTGGATATAAACGATGGAATTATCATAGCGTACTCCGCAGCAAGAAAACGACTCAAAAAGTACTACAAAAAGATATTTCTCCAGTTTTTAGACATTATGTGTCTGAATGCATTCATATTATATAAAAAAAATGGAACATTATCGCGAATCAACTTTTTGCTCAAATTTATTGAAGACACTTTTGCGAAGTATCCAATTGAAAGAAAGAAATCGACACAAACTCGGCCATTTAGACCTAATATAAGCCGATTAGGCGGGAATCATGTTCTGAATTATATACCCGGAACATCGAAAAGAAAAAACAACCCTACGCGAAGGTGTTCGCATTGCTACAAACGTAAGATTAGGAAGGAATCGCGTTACTAGTGTTCGATTTACAAAGTCCCATTGTGTTATATAGTACCCTGTTTCGCTGAATATCACTCCACAACAGGAATTTAAATTCTTACTTTTATATGTATAATATTTAATTTAATTTTATTGCGTTTTTAGTTTAATATGTATGTGATATATGCTTATGTTAACCAAATGAGTAAATATTAGTCACAAAATTTTCAATTTTATAAAATAAACCCATCTTTTTCATCCAATATCTTAACAGGGCAACTTACTCTGTGATTGACGAATATACTCGTCATGGCTCGATTCTGGCGATACAAAACTCTACGCCCTCTTAAACGAGGGTGCCACAGTTAACTGATTGAAGCTATTTTGAAATGACTAAAATATTATAGCATTACATCAATATGGGTTTAGACCCGAATTCTCAATTCGCCGACTTATCAGTTTTTATATTCACTCTTCTTTGATGTAGTCAAGGTCTCAAAGATTTTGGTTAGATGTCTAGGCTTTACAAAATGTATCAAAAACCATAAGCTGTTATGTCTGACCTTGTTATGACGGTAGAAAAGTGCCATGTTTCGTATTTGGTGATCAACTACCTTTTCTGATAATTCATGAGAGATAAGCAACGCCCTCGCCCGGAATCGAACCACAGACCTCTGGAATACGCGCCCAGCATGCAGACCACCACAACACAAAGGCATGCTAAGAACGCGGGAGAAATACCTTACATACTCCCCCTTTTAAAGGGTGACTGGGATTTTTAGGGGACCCAGTCACCAAATCCTGCGTGTGGAGAATCATCATCCACTACCCTTTTAGTTCGGGAGCCATTGTAGAGACATCAGGATTTTTTGGAAGCAAGAGAGGTTGAAAAATGGGCAACGCCTTTTCCGGGAATTTTGACGGACTGAAGAAGTGGCGGGCTGTGCGGAGATAAAAGCAAGATAGGAATTGACGCAAGTCTGTAAAGATTTAAAATAGCCCAAACGCGTCATGTTAAGAATATGAAAACGGCTTATAAACACTGTGATGTGATATTAAGCGTGAAAAAGAACTCCAGCAGATTCTCAGGACCTTTATTGCAGTTACTTGAACTTGATTATCGAGATATACCACAAATGGCAGCTGCATAAAATACAGCTCTATTCATGGAAGCTCAAGATTTGTATCCGACTAACTTTTGGCTGCGAAATGAACTCGGTTGCAGTGGTGAAGAGATTATCGAGACGGGAGTACCATGGACTGCAGCATCGAGCTCTCTCTACTTATTCGTCTTGTTTTTGTTTGCACAAGGATTCCAAACATGTTTTACTTTAGATGAAGCAAAATACACGCAATAAGCCTGAAAACATCCGCATTGATACAAATATGTTGCATCATGGAATGGGCGGACATCTTTTTAAATGGCTGCACTGTCCTACACACTTTTATCAGTGCAATTATGAATGCTCAAATAAACAGAGGTTCTTGATTCTGTTGTTGTGACTTATTTCACTTGTGTGGCAGTAACATCAGAACAAGCACACGAAATTCATCGTGGTAAGGAGTGCAAGACTGCGCCTGCGCCTTTTCCCTTACTTCTCATTTTGATACTAAATTTTTTTTAACACGTTAAGCCCGACGCCGAATTTGCTGTCCTTTCCGTTCAGTTGGCGCGAGCGATCCTCCCAAGCGGTGCAATGTTGCAAGCTGATCCGCCGCTTCATGCACTGAGTAGAGCTTCTCTGTTGGTGAGTTTTGTCGGCTACCGACGTGCAAGCCCTGCCTGTGCGTGACAAAGCTCGTGGTCGCGAATGTTAATACTGTCAAACGGAAATTCCAGTGCCGCTCCCCAAGGGCCGACGTCGGCCAAACGAAAATTAGAGTGCGGGTCCCCAAGGACCGACGCCGACCACACAGAAAGTTCACTGCGGGTCCCCAGGTACCGGCGCCGGGCTCAACGTGTTAATAGTGGGCACCAGCCATTTTAGGGTTTGGCCACTAATAAGGCCAGAAATGGTGATAATTTTATTATAGAAGCATCTAACAGGCGGCTACCGTTACCTCCTATGAAGGAGGAGCCAATTAACACCCATTCCTTCTGCAGGATTCGAGCTCGGACCTTTCAGTACGGCAGTCAGAGTCAGTAACCACCTTCCCGTCTGGACGGATGATACCGAAGTGTCTGCTTACTAACTTAGGTCTGAACACAATGTTTCGCACTCGCATTGCGAAGAACGTGCAGTTACAATATGGAGCTGGTCAGTTAGTATTTCTTTATATTGTAGGATTGGTACTTACTGTAGGAGCATATGTCTGTGAACTTAACTTCCAAGGTGGCTGTCTAAGCGCAAATAAGTTAGTTCGACTTATAATAACTTGAATATTTAATGAAACATCAATAGTTGTTGTTACAAACTACAAAATGATTACATGCGTAGAAGGGAAAAGATGAAATTATTTACAGATGAACAGAAGTAACCGTCTTTCACATGCAAACATCTTTCAGTCTCGTCATCGTCTTAAATCCGTAATCCTCTGAATTCCATCACGCGAAAAAGAAAGATTCCTTTCACACAGCTTGCCGCGTCATCCGATTATTGTCGACGATGCCACCCTACAATATTTTAGGCCCAATCCTGTTTTAATGGCGAGATGATTAAGAACAGAAAAATTTAAGGGGTAACGGCTGTCAGAAGATTACAGTACCACGAGCTACGAGTATTACAGTACTGTCCGAAAAGCTCCATTATTAACTTACACATTTAATAACAGATGGCAGCACTA